CACCAAACCACCGCCCCAGGAGGCTCAGAGAACACCAAGCAACGTAAGTGCAAAAATCAACTACATCATTTCCAAACTGCAGAAAATCAGAGATAAAGAAAAAAATCCTGAACGAAGCCAAAGGAAAAAAACACCTACCTACACAGGACCACAGACAAGAATTACACCACAGCTTCTCCTCAGAGAGGAGAGCAAAATATTTAAAGTGTTGAGAGGACAAAACCTGTCACCCAAGAATCTTATACCCTGCAAAATTATCCTTCAAAAGTGTAGAGAAAATAAAGACTTTCTGAGACAAATAAGTATTGAGGGAAATTTTTGCCAGTAAACCTGCTTTGCAAGAAGGTCCTTAGAGAAAAGGAAAGTAATATAGGTCAGAAACTTTGATCCATATAAAGTAAAGAAGCAAAATGAAGAAGGAGTAAGTGGAGGTAAAATAATAACTTATTTTTCTTATTTTTAATTGACTTGGCATAATGGTTTGTTCAAAATGATAATACCAACAATATATTTGATTATGGGGTGCCTGGGTGGCTCAGATGGTTAGGCGTCTGCCTTCGGCTCAGGTCATGATCCCAGAGTCCTGGGATCGAGTCCCGCATCGGGCTCCCTGCTCAGTGGGGAGCCTGCTTCTCCCTCTGCTTCTCTCTCTCTGTCTCTCATGAATATATAAATAAAATCTTTAAAAATATATATATATTTGATTATGCTTATGCATGTATTATATACATAAACATAAACATACACATCATGCTTATATACATATGTAGTATATAAGCATATATAGAAACACATTTATATGAAATAATTAACTATGGTTTTATATTTATTTTTTTAAAGTAAATCCTGACTTTATTTATTTATTTATTTTTTAAAAGATTTTATCCATTTATTTGACAGAGATAGAGAGAGAGAGAGCGCGCACAAGTAGGCAGAGAGGCAGGCAGAGGGAGAGGGAGAAGCAGGCTCTCTGCTGAGCAGGGAGCCCAATGCGGAACTCGATCCCAGGACCCTGGGATCATGACCTGAGCCGAAGGCAGCTGCTTAACCGACTGAGCCACCCAGGCGCCCTATGGTTTTATATTTAAAGTGGGATTTCTGGTAGATAGCAGATAGTTGGTCTTGCTTTTTTATCCAATTTAAAAATCTCTGTCTTTTGATTTTGATGTTTAGACCTTTTACATTTAATGGAAGTTGTTGATATACTGAGGTGTAAAATACCATCTTGCTGGTTGTGTTCTATTTGTGCCATCCGTTCTTTTTTCTCTTTCTCTTCTTTTCAGGTTTAGTATTTTTAATTATCCCATGTCATCTCTACTTTTGGCCTCATCAGTTACACATCTTTTCAAAGTGGATTGGTCGAGAGTTTATAATTTACACCTTTAATAGAACACGATCTACCTCCAAATGCTATTATGCCATTCCTCTGCAGTGTTGGGACTCTATAGCGGTGTACTTCCATGTCACATCGTCTGAGGGGGTGTTGTCTCCTTTACCTCCTCACATGTGAAGAACCCCCAGTGCATTGCGACGGTGTCTGCTCTAGACAGTCGATTATCTTGTAAAGCTTTTTATATTGAGCTTCTTTCTAGAATCATTTCTAGAGACATTTTTCTCCTTGTGTACATCAGGTTTCTCTCTGCTCTCCCAATCAGTGGCTTGAAGAAATTTTAATATTTCTGGTAGTGCATGTCTGTGGTTGGTTAATCTCTCTCAGTTTTTGTTCGTCTGAGCAAGTGTTTATTTCACTTTAATTTTTACTTATTTTTTCTTAAGATTTTATTTATTTGAGAGAGAAAGAGAATGAGCAAGAGAGACAAGCTTGGGGGTGGGTGAGAGGCAGAGAGGGAAGCAGGTTCCCTGCTGAGCAAGGAGCCCAATGCAGGGCTCGATCCCAAGACCTTGGGATCATGACCTGAGCTGAAGACAGACGCTTAATGGACTGAGCCACCCAGGTGCCCCTCACTTTAATTTTTAAAGATACTTTCTTAAAACATTCATAGGGTTGACAGATTTTTTTTTTTTAGGAGCATATCTTTTTCATGCAGATGCCTTCAAGATTTCCTCTTCTCTTTTGGTTTTATAGTCAGACTTTAATGATGTATCCAGGTCATTATTTTTTATAGGAGTCGGGGGCTGATTTATCCTACTTGAGGTGCTCTGAGCTTCTTGGATCTATCATTTTATGTCTTTCATTATTTTTAGAAAGTTCATAAATTTTAAGAAATTAAATATTTCTTCTCTCTTATTCTCTTTCTCCTGTTTTTCTGGGACCTTAATTACATTCATTAGTGATGATTTAATATTGTCCTAGAGTTCTTTGATGTTTTATTCTTGTTTTTCCCTCTACTATTTTTCTCCTTGAGATTTAATATGGACTATATCTATTTACTTATCTTGAAATTTAATGATTCCACACTTGGCTGTGTCAAGTCTACTGATGAGCCCACTGAAAGAATTTATTTTTGATATTGTATTTTGATTTTTACATAATCTTTTTGACTCTTTCTTATAGTACCCATCTCTCTGCTGAAATTCTCCATCTGTTCATACATGTAGTCCATGTTTTACCTTTGATTATTTAACTTATTAATCTTAGTTATTTTATTTGTTTATTTATTTGAAGACTTACATCCCCCACATGATTCAATGCTTTAGTCCATTCTGAATGTAACTGTTATTCTAAATTTAACATTTATCATTCCTATGCTTTTATTTATGAATTTACCACACATGTCCCCCCAATCATTTAGCACATCTTTTTTTTTTTTTTTTTAAAGATTTTATTTATTTATTCGACAGAGAGAGAGACAGCACAAGCAGGCAGAGTGGCAGGCAGAGGGAGAGGGAGAAGCAGGCTCTCCGCCGAGCAGGGAGTCGGATGTGGGGCTCGATCCCAGGACCCTGGGATCATGACCTGAGCCGAAGGCAGCCGCTTAACCGACTGAGCCACCCAGGCGCCCCATTTAGCACATCTTTTAACTTCTCTTACATATTTGCTACTTTTTAAACTCTTTTGGGGGCATTCAGGATATTTTCTTGGGATCTGCCTTCTGATTTCTCTAACTCTCTCTTCTGCTGTGTCTAATATTCTCTTTAAGTTTTCAACTAAATTTTAAATTTTATTACTTGATTTTTTTTATTTCTAGGAGTTTTCTTTGTTTCCCTCAGGTCTGTTTGTTTCTTCTATTTTACTAGATTCTCACTCTGTTCTCATATTTATACTTCTTTAAACATATTAACTTGGTGTTTTTCTTTTATAGAAATGCTGTACATTACATTCCCCAACTCATTTGTCTTATAACTGGAAGTTTGTAACTTTTGACCACCTTCACCCATTTCACCCACCCCCTGCCCCCACCTCTGGAATTATTATTATTATTATTATTATTTTGATTCCACATATAAGTGAGATCATACAGTACAGTTGACCCTTGAACAACATGAGCTTGAATTGCATGGATTTTTTTTTTAAAAAGTACAGTACTGTAAATGTATTTTCTCTTCCTTCTAGTTTTTAAATAACACTTTCTTTTCTCTAGCTTACTTTATTGTATGACTACAACATATAATACATGAACATACAACATAAGTGTTAATTGACTATTTATGTTATCAGTAATGATTCTGGTCAACAGTAGGCTATTAGTAGTTAAGCTTTTGGGGAGTCAAAAGTTATATGTGAATTTAAAATTTATATGTGAATTGCAGGGGGTCAGTGCCCCTAACCTCCACATTGGTTAAGGGTCAACTGTATTTGCCTTTCTCTGTCTAACTTACTTCACTCATCATAGTTATTTTACTGTTTCTGTCTGATAGCTCTAACATCTGGGTCATTTTTGAGTCGAGTTTTGTTGAGCTTTGAGTCCAGCTTTGTCCCTTGACAATAGATTGATCTTTTTTCCTTGCTTTTTTGTATGTCTTCTAATTTTTTATTGAATATCAGATATCATGTATTAATTGAAATGGACATAAACAGTGTTTCCTCCGGGAAACGGGTGAGTCTCTTCTGTCAGGTCATCATTGTGGTAGGGGAAGTTTGGATCAACCTGCTCAGATGTTGACCTTGGTTTGGGTTTTGCTGTTATTGTGATGACCTTCAAGGTACCTAAGACTTTGGATTCCTTTGTGGTGGGTTTCCAGGCATGTACTTCAGGCCAGGGCTAGAGGCACAGTACTCTTGCTCTGCCTTAAGTTTTCAGCTCTCTCTGTGTGCCTGGTACATGGAGGGGACCTCTACACAGGCCTGCCTCCCCCCAGGGATTGCCACTGCTCCTGCAGCTGTACCAGCCAGGCTGAGCTGGGGCCAGGAGGGCTCCATTGTCCTATCCCAGGGTCAGTCTTGAGCAGGCCCTAAGTGCCTGGATCTTGGAGGGTGAAGCTTTCTCACTTCCTGAGAAAGGGAATGGCCAGACTTCCTGGCAATGGCCAGACTCCACTTTGTAGTTGGGGTGGGTCTGTGTGAGCTTTCTCTGCCCTCCCTGTCAGAGAGCTCCGATTCCCATCCCCTATTCAGTGCAGGTAGTTTTTCCTCTGCCCTTCCCCAACTACAAATGAGTCTCAGGTGGTGGATGTGGGGAGGATACCTTCCGCCTGCACCCTCCAAGAACCGCCCACCTCCAGCTGAGCAGTTGGAGAGGGCTCTTTGAGGAGGGGCTGCTCTGCTTATGGTTGCCTATGTCTTCAAGAAAAGAACTTCAAAATACATGAAGATAAACCAGAGGGACACGCTGTATCAGGAAAGCATGGTTTATTTGGCTCACACAGGGTGGGTTCCCTGCTGGAGACAGAGGACCCTGGAAACCAGGGCCTCCCAGAGGGGACAGGCAGGGTCACAGAGGGATCCAGATCATCCTGGTACATCCTTGCCACAGGCTTCAGAGGGTCCGTTGGGCATGTTCTTCATCGGCCCTGTGCAGAACCTGGAGGCCACTGAAGACTTGTTCCAGGAGGGGAGCAACTGTGGCCCCCTGTGCTCTGGGAGCAGCTGGGTGGGAGGCTCATGGCCAGAAGCAGGATGGGGTGCTACAGGAGACGGGTCTGCAGAGCAGAGTGGGGCGGGAGGGCTGGCAGCCCCCGGAGGACTGGCAGGAGGGGGCCATGAGCACGAGGGGCCTGTAGCTCACGGGCAGGCAAACAGAGGACTGGCCGGAGGGGACCACATACACGGCAGGCTTGCAGCTCACGGGCACGGACATGGTGGGCTGGCAGCTCATGGGCACGTAGCAGGATGCCTGGCAGGAGCTGGGGGTGCAGCAGGACGCCTGGCAGCCCGTGGAGCAGCTGGTGGAGCACATGGTGGCGTGGGGCTGGAGTGGAGTCAGGGAGGAGGGCGGTGATGTCTGGAGGCTCCTTCCCCGGGCGGCCTTTATACCCGAGCTGTAGGCGTCCTGGCAACACAGAAGCACAACTGTTGACTTCCTCATAGTTGTTTCCACCATGTTTCCCCCAACATCTTGTGGGACGCACTCTCCTGTGTTATGCTCCACTATAATACATTTAGCTTAGAGGCCAATTTCTTCTTCTGTAAACAGGATCTTCTGGTTTGCCTGTGCGTGGGGTTTGTGCTATTTCTCCAGGCAGTAATGTGCACACAACACCACGCTCCACTCAGTACCGCGTCCCTTATTCCTTTTTGTCTCATGCCCGTCAGTGGTGACTTTGAGGCAGTGATGCAGTCTGAGCTTTTATTTTGCACAGGAAAACATTAAACTAGGGATCTGTAAACTGGGAAGCAGGGAAGTCTGTGGGACAAATCTGGCCTACTCCTTGTTTTGTAAATAAAGTTTTATTGGAAACAGCCATGCTCATTTGCTTACGCATTCTCTAGGGCTTGCACTATAATGCAGAGTGGTTATGAGAGAGACCATGCCCCTGCAAAGCCTGAAATATTTACTATCTTCCCTTTATAGAAAGGTGACCAACTTCTGCCACCTAGTAATCTATACAATAATTGATTTGTTCATGCAACAAATATATATTGTGTGCTGGCTACAGAGACGTCCTAGCCTCGTGAGCCTTGTGGGGCAATGAATAAACGAGAGGATGAAAGTTAATGGATGAAATGATTCCAGAGCGGTCTGAGTCCCGGAAAGGAAAACAGGTTCAGCAGGTAGAGAGGAATAGGGGTGCTGGCGAGTGGTTTGGGGACCTCTGTGTGGAGGCGATGCTGAGCTGGCATGTGGGTGACGTGGATGGGGCAGAGGTGGTGTTCCAAGCAGAAGCAGCCGTGGGGGCATGAGGACACTGCTGCAGAAATGGGCGCGTTCCTGGAACAGTGGGAAATCCTGCAGTGTGGGTGCTGGGCTGCCGGTGCGGGTGGACAAGTGCAGACCACACAGCTTGAGTCCAGGCATCACAGCCCTGGGCCGATAGAATAAGAAAGACTGTCAATATGACAGACACATCAGTAGGAATTACCCAATCTGAAAAAAAGAACAGAACTAAGAATCATGAAGACGGTCTATGGACAATATCAGGAAGTCTAACCATAAGCAATTTTAACCCAAGAAGGAGAAGAGAATGTTATTGAAGCGTAACAAATGGACAAAATGCCCAGTTTTTTTTTAAGTAGACTCCATGCCCAACGTGGAGCCCAATTCAGGGCTTGAACTCACTACCCTGAGATCAAGACCTGAGCTGAGATCAAGAGTCGGATGCCCAACAGACTGAGCCACCCAGGCACCCCCCCAAATTTGTTTTTTTAAATCTAACTTACAGACCCAAGAGTCTCAGAAAACCCCGAAAGCCCCAGCATAATTTGGCACAATGGTAAAGACCAGACTCCAGAGTGAAACTGAGCAGCTTCAAATTCCTGCTTCTTCACCCCAGTGGTGAGAGTGCGCAAACATCATGGAATCTAATTGCGCATGTGTGTAAGAGGGGTATCACCTACCCCTTGGATGGCGGCAAGGATTGGTGACTAGTCAGGAATGAGCTGATCCAGGTAAAAGGCTTAGCATGGTGCCTGGCACAAAGCTGGGACTGGTTGACATGGTGGATGACATGGCCACGGCTGTCCCCAATGAGGAGCCCAGCTGCTTGGCTCTGGTCCATTGGGAAGACCTTCTGGATCACAGAGTTTCCAAATCAAAATGGGGGACCCCTGGTCTGGCGAGAAGGATGGTGCTTATGTGGACAGAGGACAGGGTATGCAAGCTTGGGGAGGACCTTGAACATCCTGATGTGGGGTCTCCTATCCCCAGCTGATGCTCCTTCACCATCCAACCTGGGCTCTGAGTCCAGAAATCACAGGGCTGCTGGGTCACACTGAGCCTCCAGCTGTTGCAGAGTTTCCTGAACCGAGTCACTTCCCCCAGAAACTCCAGGAAGAGACGCACAGAGGAGGAGGAGGAGGAAAACAATCAGGCAGCCAGGAGGAAGGCACCTGTGTGGCTTGTTGCCAGGATGCCACAGCCCGGGTATAAAGGCTGCCTGGGGAAGGAGCCTCCAGACCAGCCCTGTCCTCCACCCTGACTCCACTCCAGCCCCACACCGCCATGTACTTCACCAGCTGCTCCACGGGCTGCCAGCAGGCCAGCTGCACCCCCAGCCCCTGCCAGATGTCCTGCTGCGTGCCCAGCCCATGCCAGACGTCCTGCTGCATGCCCAGCTCCTACCAGGTGACCTGCTGCACCCCCAGCCCCTGCCAGATGCCCTGCTGCGTGCCCGTGACCTGCAAGCCTGCTGTGTGCCTGCCCATGAGCTGCAAGCCTGCCGTGTGCCTTCCCGTGAGCTGCAAGCCAGTTGTGTGCCTGCCCGTGAGCTACAAGCCCATTGTGTATGTGGCTCCCTCCTGCCAGTCCTCTGGGGGCTGCCAGCCCTCCTGCCCCACCCTGGTCTGCAGGCCTGCCCCCTGCAGCACCCCTAACTGCTGCTGAGCCCATGGCTTCCTAGGACCCCTCTTCCGTGGGGTCAGAAGTGGCTGCTCTCCAAACTCCTACCAGGCAGTCCAGACATCATCCACTTCAGACCTTCCGGACCCGACTGACCATCTTACAGCTAACCAGGCGGAGAGAGTCGCCCCTAGTGTCCCTGGCCCTGACCTGGGCCATTCACCCAGCACCCACCTGGCTGGTGTGGAGTGCCCAGGCTCTGCAGCCACCCACACAAAAGTCTAATAAATCCCAGAGTGCATTCGAAATCCACCCGAGTGTGTGCGGTGTCTCTCCCTTAGCGCCTTTCCCTAAACTGCTTCCTCCAGGGGGAGCTCCCAGAATCCAGGAAAGCTCCCTCTGTGGAGAAGCCACAGGTTACCAGATGGCCGTGCACAGGGCACTGACCACTCAAAGGTGGCCTCTTGGGCGAGTGGGCGCTCCTAGCTCAGCCTGATGGGCCCCAGCGCTTCCTTTGTCCCACTTTGTCCCTTGAACCAGTGAGGTTATTTCTTACTCTGCTGGGTGGCACTGAGGGTGAATCCCTAACTTTCTGATCTGACCCCTTTTAGGTAAAAAAGTCTCCTGCTCAGCAATTAATATGCGGAGCCAACCTGGTCTAAAAATTAGAAGTGTACTCTTCCTAGAAGAGTATACCTCCTCCTTCTCCCATTTGGGAGGACAGGGCTTTGTGGGTAACTTCCGTGGCCCCGGATATGTCCACTTCCTCATCCCCACAACTGGTGGATACAGCCCTACAGGCGAGGTGGCTTCCCAGATGGGGTGAACTGAGGGTCTTGCAATGGGAGCCGTCCTGGATTGGCCGGGTGGGCTCGCGTCATCCCGGGGATTTGGGAGAAGGGAGAGGAAGGGCTGCCACGGAAGAGGAGGCCGTGGGAAGCAGGACACCGTGCTGCGGGTTTGGAGCACCATCCCCTCCGACTCATTCTCTCCTTGGGCAACGGTAGCCCACTGACCGTGTAGATGCCTCGTCTATGAGCAGTTCAGCTGACCGTGTAGATGCCCCATGGAGCAGGTGGTGCCGCTGGCGGCTGGGAGGGACAGCGAGCAGGTTGGGCGGGCGCTCTGGGAGGACCCAGCCCAGCTTGGTTTTAGCCCCTGAGGCCTGCTTCAGACTCTAGCCTCCGAGCCGTCAGAGTCCGCCGGTGCTGCTGCAGCCACCGAGTGTGCGGTCTGTCTCCGTGGCCACGGCACAGACCCAGCCTCTGTCGTACAGCCCCGGTTGGCCGCCCTCCTGTGTGCTCCCACGGGGAGCCTGCACTGTTCCGGGCCGGGAAACCAGACCTGCCCCTGACAGTGCGGGCTTAGCCCCTGTGGTGTGGCCACGGGCCACCCAAGAGCAAGGGCGCTGGGGCCACCCCGGAGATGGGCGGGAGGCACACAGAGAGGGCACGGTCATCAGCACAAGGGAGCCGAGGCACACCAGGGTGCCAGGGCGGAGCTGTGTGAGAACCAAGAAATAGTCTAAGAGGAGCGCCATCAAGGGGGTCCTTCCTGCAGCAGGACCACGTATCCACGTATCTGGAAACATCCATTATTGCGAGGTCACGGGTTACAAGGATGGGAAATTCAGGAGGGACTCTCGGAGCACCTCCTATGCGCAGCTCTTCCTCATGCTTGGTCCCATGCAGACCCCACCGCCGGCCACCGGTCTCACCATCACGGGTGTCCAGCCACTGTGCGCCACGCCCTGGCCTTGCAGACACCCTCCCTCCAGGCACCCCCGCGGCCACGGCGCCAACCACCAGACAGCGGGGGAGGCCTGCCCCGTCTCCTCAGTGATGCCTCTGAGGGCTGTGACCATCCCAGTCTCAGGCATGATGGGTGACGGGGCGTCCGGGTCCGGGGGCTGCCCACAGAAGGGCTCACCGAGATCCGAGAACAGCATTGTCGCTGCACTGTGAACACGCGTTAAAGAAGCTTCCCAAAGTAAAGACACCCGTCACCTCTGACTTCACCATCTCCACTGCTGGGCAATGGTGGCCGGCTGACCGTGTAGACGCCCAGCTGGAGCAGTCCAGCTGACTGCGTAGACTGCTCCTGTCTGTGAGTAGTCTGGCTGACTGCATAGACACCCTGTCTATGAGCAGTCTGACTGACTGCGTAGACACCCGACTGTGAGCAGTCTGGTTGACTGCGTAGACACCCTGTCTGTGAGCAGTCTGACTGACTACGTAGACACCTGACTGTGAGCAGTCTGGCTGACTGCGTAGACACCCTGTCTGTGAGCAGTCTGGCTGACTGTGTAGACACCCTGTCTGTGAGCAGTCTGGCTGACTGCGTAAACACCCGACTGTGAGCAGCCTGGCTGACCGTGTAGACGCCCGGCCTGGAGCAGTCCAGCTGACTGCATAGACACCCTGTCTATGAGCAGTCTGACTGACTGCGTAGACACCCAACTGTGAGCAGTCTGGTTGACTGCATAGACACCCTGTCTATGAGCAGTTTGACTGACTGTGTAGACACCCCAGCCTGGAGCAGTCCTGCTGACTGTATAGACGCCCCATCTGTGAGCAGTCTGACTGACCATGTAGACGCCCAGCCTGGAGCAGTCCAGCTGACTGCGTAGACACCCTGTCTGTGAGCAGTCTGACTGACTGCGTAGCCACCCAACTGTGAGCAGTCTGGCTGACCGTGTAGATGCCCGACCTGGAGCAGTCCAGCTGACTGCATAGACACCCTGTCTATGAGCAGTCTGACTGACTGTGTAGACACCTGACTGTGAGCAGTCTGGCTGACCGTGTAGACGCCCGGCCTGGAGCAGTGTGGCTGACTGTGTAGACACCCCATCTGTGAGCAGTCTCACTGACTGTGTCGATGCCGAGTCTGTAAGCAGTCTGGCTGGCTGCATAGACGCCCCAGCCTGGAGCAGTTCTGCTGACTGTGTAGACACCCCATCTGTGAGCAGTCTGACTGACCGTGTAGATGCCCAGTCTGTGAGCAGTCCAGATGACCATGCAGATGCCCCATCGCTGAGCACTCCCGCTGACCATGTAGATGGCCCATCTGTGAGCAACCTGGCTGACCATGTAGATGCCCCATCTGTGAGCAGTCTGGCTGATTGTGTAGACACCCCGTCTGTGAGCAGTCCAGCTGACCATGTAGACACCCTGGCTGCAGGGTGACCGGCTGACTGTGTCTTAAGCAGCTGTGACCAACTTTCCTGCAGGAACCGTGAGAAGGTCCTGGATGTGTTCGTGCCACGGGGCCAGAGCAGGGGTGCATCCTGCAGGGGCCCCTGCCCGGCCCTCCCATGCACTATTTTGGCAACACTGTGGTTTGCTGGTTTCCACGTGAGTCAACATCCCTGTACTTCACTCTTTTTGGTTACGGATGAGGTGGAACCTTCCTCCAGGTCTTTAACTCTGTGCCGTGAAGAATCCATTGAGGTCTCTGTATCTATGCAGACGGTCATGTTTTTTTTTAAATTTGAAAGAACAAGTAATGGGCACAGATTTGGGATAAATTCAGGCAACTGAGGGATTTAAGGCTCAAGGTGGGTTTACAACCCAGGCCCTTTCTCTTTAAAGGCTCCCTTAGGGTTTTTGCTCTGTCTCCTCTTCCCTGGGGTAGAACTAACTTGGGGTAGGGGTGAAGTCAGCCTCTGTGAGGAGATACCCTCTATTCCTCCCTCCACCTGCTGGGCCTTTGCTGTTCTGCTCCTGTGGGCTTCTTCCGTCTGTTCCTGGCACAAGGGATCAGTAGGGAGCCTGATGCTGACCTGGCTGGTCTGACTGGTGGCCACTTGATCCTCTAGTGCTAGAGGTCCACTGAGACTGCAGGCTCATCCTCTTCCACTGTCCTGAGGATTTGTCAACAAGGCATCTTTTTGCTCCCTGTCTCCTCAATCAGGCCTTGAGATCTTGAGTAGAATGAATGATGTCTGAACCGACCCCTGCACCCCTCTTGGGGTCTACAGGGATTTGCCGGTGCTTCAGAGCATCAGCCCCTGTGCCCAGACCAGCATGTAGGCATTCCTCTGTGTGGGCACCTCTCTCCAAGGGAGTCAGCACGGTGCTAGGTACTGGACCCTCCAGTGCCCACCAGTTAGGATCGTGCTGCTCCCCAGCTCGCTTTTAACCTGCATGGGCGGGGGGCCAGGCGTGGGCTGGAGCTCTAAGCCTTGTGCAACCACTCTCACCCCCGGGGCCCAGGCTTGGAGGGCTCTTCACTGTGGGGAGGGTGGGGCCGCGGGGCCGGGAAGGGACATGGAGCGTGCAGATCCACATTCAGACATCTCTCAGGTGCTTTGAACTTGGAATTTGAGAATATGTCTTTATTGTTTGCTTCCACCAGGCAGAGCTCCATTCTGGAGGGGTCTCCGAGGAGGAGGAGAAAACAAACACCAGTCTCTAGGTCATGACACAAACATTTTATTGATTATAGCAATTGGCCTTTGTCATGCGGAACACAAGGAACCGATCCTACAGAAGAGGGTTCCCGGGGTGCCGCCGTCCACCTCCGTTGAGGGACTTGTGGGCCATCTGTTGGCAGAAAGGGGTGGCGGCATGTTCGAATCCCTGGTAGGCAGCATCTGTGTGCCCACCGAGGGGCCAAGGGGTGGTCCTGGTGCCCACAGAGGGGCGTCTGGGCTCCTGAGAGAGGACATTTGTGCCCAGGAACAAAGGTGGCAGCACCAGACGCAGAGGTTCAAGCTGGTCAGCAGCAGGACTTCTGGGCCGAGGCGGGCACGCAGCAGGCCTGGCAGGAGCCCACGGGCCAGCAGAGCAGGGACACGCAGGAGGCCCGGCGGCAGCAGCTGGGCTAGCAGGAGGAGGCGGGCACGCAGTAGGCGGGCCTGCACACGGGCCGGCAGAGCAGGGACACGCAGGAGGCCTGGCGGCAGCAGCTGGGCTGGCAGGAGGAGGCGGGCACGCAGCAGGCGGGCCTGCACACGGGCCGGCAGAGCAGGGACATGCAGGAGGAGGGTCTGCAGCAGGACGAGGAGCAGGGGCTGGGCCGGCTGCAGGAGGGGGCTGAGCAGG